GCCTCTGGCCAGGAGTGATGGCCTGATCCAGCCCCAGCTTTGCTTGACCCTGCTCTTGCCCCAAGACTTGGAAAGTTTTCCTTTGCTCAGGGGGCCATTTGGACTAATACCCACCCCTGTTGTGCCATGCTTTGGCTGGCTCTGGAGGGTGCCCCGGCCCCAGAGAGCCATGGAGTGCTGGGGTAGTGCTGTGCTTGCTGGGTCCTGTGGATGCCCCTTCCCCCCATGCTGAGCTGCAGCCAGGGGCACCGCACTGGTGCATCGCTGCCTGCCTGCCCCGCTGCCTGGGCAGGGCCTCCGGGCCCTCCTTCACCTTTCCCCAGCCAGCAGCATGCTCCCAAGCACTCACCCACACCCTTCAAATCCAGGGCTGTGCACCCAGACCTCTCCTCTGCGCTGGGGGAGGGTACAGGGTACAAGTTGCCTTCAGGTTGTGCAAACACTGCTCCACAGCCCCTGCAAGTGTGGGCGGGGGTCTCCCCAGAGCAGGCCTCACACGTGCTCTGGTGCCTGCGGCAGCACCCCTGCACCCCTTGGCACTCAGACCCTGCTGCAGCTGCCGGCAAGTCTGCTGCCCACCGCTTGCTTCCCCAGGCCTTGTCACAGATGCTGTGGTGATGTGCAGGAACCTTCCCCTGCCTCCCTGCCTCCACAGCTCTGTGGGACCTCCAACCACTCCGCCGTGCTCAGGGACCATCCCCAGCAGCCCTGCTGCTGCCAGGATGTTCCACAGCAGGCAGGGAGCTGGCTGGACAGGTTAGGAGGCGTACATCCATCTTTCCTCAGCTCCCCCTCCCCATGGCCCCAGTCAATATGTCTCTCTCCGATGGGAAAGTTAATAAATTTAGCTCTAGATTAAAAGTATCGATCATTTCATTTGTAAGCAATAAATAACTGGGGAGAGTGCTGGGCGGCCCGTGGGGTAGGGGCTGCTGGCTCTGGCTAAAGCAGCCATGCAGCCCACTGGGGCCGGGGGCCCTCATATGCATTCTGCCCGGATGCTGGCATTGATTTGCTATTAGTCTCCACGCACCACCCAGTAGCACATCATTCCCGGAGCCGCTATTAATGGCCTTTTGATAAATAATCACTTGTAAGTCAATAAATTTTTATTAAACAGTGTGGCGCTTTGATTTATGAAAATCCGACGGGGTTTGTCTGGGAGAAAAGGAATGCAGAATTGAAGCGGAGCTGCTATCCATCTGCCTGCCAGGCCGCCCTGCCTGCACTCGCACCCACACGCCCCTGGAGCAGCCAGCCCCAAGCTCGGCCGCGTGCTTAGCAGGAGCCCTGCCTGCATGCCCCAGGGCTGCCCAGCCACAGGCAGGCCCCAGCCACAGGGCACAAGGCAGGTTTGGGGAGGGCAGAGCTGGTGCTCGCCTTTGACCAGGGTCCATGCACCCTGTTGAGACCTCAGCGCTGGCCAGAGACTGCTCTGCATCAGCAAGTCGCAGCAGCAAGTGGCTGGTACTGTCTGCGCAGGAAGCAGGACTGTGGGAGCAGTGGTGGGTAAAGTGGGCACGAGGGAAGGGTGGTCCTGGTCGCTGCCCTGGGGCCTTGTGCAGAGCAGCACTGCTCAGTAGACCTGTCCGGCTGCGGGATGCATGGGGCAGCGAGGCTGCGGCTGCGATTTGTCACTCTCCCCAGCTGCAGCAGGCCCTTTGCCACCTGCTTTATTTGTCTCCTAGCCCTGACGTGGCATCAGACAGGTGTTAAACTACTTAATCACTTTAAAATTGTTTTAATTTTCTGTTTTGTATTGATCTCCACAGCACCAATTAATCAGCTCACTGGACCAGGCAGTTAGTACATTAAAAATTGTCAGCCACTCTGGGCAGCTTAGAAAATGTCAAAAAAATATCCCGACAGCAGCCCCTCACTTCTCCCGCCGTGCAGAGCCTGCTGCTGCCAAGTGCTGGCTCTGCCTGTGGGCAGTGACATGGGTCTCCCAGCCCTGCTACAGGACCAGGGCGCATGAGGCACACAGCCTCTGCCCCAGCCCCATGCACTGCACTGCCTGCAGGACCTGGCCTCCCACATCCTTGCAGTCCATCAGCTCTGCTACCCACCAGCATTTGTCCAGTCGAGGCAGCAGAGGGGCTGCATGGCTGAGGGTGAAGCGTTATGAGCCCCACACTTGCTGGGGGCCTGGACAGGGACCTATGGGGGGAGATCAGTCTTCCTTAAGCCCTAGGAAAGTGCTGCTGAGCAGTCAGGTCTCCTTGCAAAGTCCCCCCAGCCCAGCACATGGTGAAAAGTGACAGATTGCAGAGGACTTAAAGACAAATGTGGGCCTTAGGGTCTGGGGCAGATGGGTTCCACAGTGATGGGCTGCAGCCCCACACCACAACTCCCCGCCACATGCCTGGTGCTTGGGGCTGCTGCAAAGCCCCAGTGCTCTGGGAGCTTCAGCCATGCCCAGGGGTGGACTTGGCCACCAGTCTGTCCTCAGATGCTGCCTGCAGCCACAGGGGAAGACAGCTTGGGTTGCAGCCCCCAGCACCTCCTCCGTGTGTATGCCATGCTGTTAATCAGTTCATGATGGGCCGGCAGCACCTTATCTCATATCGATTTCCTCCCAGGACTCAGCCCATGTGTTTGCTCATACCTGGCTGGCACTTAGTTGGATCTCAGCTGAACAACTGCCAAGCTTGCCAGGCCTCCAGCAGTGTGCCTGTTCCAGCAGGAGTCCCTTTGGCATCCCGAGTGCCTGGGGACAGATGGCCCTATGCAGCACCCACCATTGGTGTGCAAGGGCTGAGCCATAGGGAGCCAAAGCAGGAGGCGTGCAGACCCATGTGAACACACGTGTGCGTACACGCAGCCCCCACTGCACTGTGGCGCAGCACAGGCAGGGGGGCCACCAGGTTGGCAGGCAAACACACCAGGGCTATTGACGCCACATCAATCCTGCAGCCCCGACAGGTGAATGGGCTCTCACTCACACCGTTAAGATAAATGATATTTATTTGCTGCTAATAGGTTCCAACAAGAGGCCCCAACGAGTGACTTTTGAACCAGCACTTCTTGCTGCCAGTGCACACCCAAACTGGGGAAAACCCTGAGAAAGGTCCCCAGGGCTGCCCCACTCCTGTGGGCTCTTCCTGCCCCACACACAGCACCACAGCCATGGCCCCTTCCCCTGCCTGGCACACAGACCCTGCCCCATATGTGCTATCCCAGCCCCTTCTCTGGCCCAGCCTCACGAGGGCACCCTGGACCGCACGGCCATGAAGCAAGCGCCGGGACTTGGCTGGGGCTGGGACCTTTATTTCATCAATGCCGACAGCATGGCCACGCTTGATGATGCCCACGCGTGCTGCTCCCAGCCCTGCAAGCCATGATCCCTGGGCAGGAGCCACCAGGAAGGGGGTGGCAGCCACATCATCCCCACAGCCAGGCATCTGCTGGGGGTTCAGTCCCCTGGCAGGAAGCAGGCAGCTGGGCCGGGCACCCCATGGCCCAGAGGGGAGGGCTGTGCTGGTGCTCAGCCACTGTGTGTGCCCAAGCCCAGCACCGAGAAGGCTGCGCGGTGCTTCCTCAGTAGCAGCCGGATCTTCTCATCATCCGAGTCGGGGTCCAGGGGCTTGTTGTACTCGTCGTCCTCAGTTTCAGAGGCCGCGCGCTCTCCACCAGAGCCCCCCACCTGCTGCGAGGACGAGGAGGGCTCCAGGGCGCTCTTCTTCCTCCATTTGGTCCGTCGGTTCTGGAACCAGACCTGCCACCCCATGGCCCGGCTCAGTTAGCAGCCACCACGCCACGCGCCCCATGCCACGTGGGGACCAACACTCACCTTCACCTGCGACTCAGTCATGCCAAGGGAATAGGCCAGCCGTGCTCTCTCTGGACCTGCCAGGTACTTGGTCTGCTCAAAAGTCTTCTCCAGAGCGAAGATCTGGTGCCCCGTGAAGGTTGGGCGCGTGTGCTTCTTCTTGTGGATGCTGTCAGCCAGGTGACCAGGGGCTTTAGAGAGCAGGAGGGAGGCAGGTGAGCACCTGGGCTGTCTGGTGTGTATGGCTCTGGGCAGCTCTCCCCTTCCTGAACATGGCACCAGCACACCCACCAGCCCTCAGTGCCCACAGAGTCCCTCCACACTGGTTCCCCTGCAAATTAAAACCGTATTCTGGCTTCAAGGCTTCAGCCCCACCCTAGAGGGCTGAGCTGCCCTCTGAGTGGGCACCATAGAGCCAGAAGCAGGCTGCGCACCTTGGGCTCGGGGACAGCACTTATTTACTGTGCTGAGACAGAAAGGGTTTGTAGAAACAGTGCATGACCCCAGAGCCATGCAGCACCGGGAACACCATGCCCCCATGCCCCACACCTTGCAGGATGCATGACAGGAAGGCAGGCAGAGCTGTTCAGCCCATAGCTGTGCTGAGAGCGGATGGCTGAGCTATCTGACCCGTCTGCTCCAAGAGCATCACCTAGAGATGGGGAAAGGGGACCATGGCTGCAGGTGATGAGCAGCTGCAGCCAGCCCCCGGCCCAGAGCCTCCCAGGGCTCCCACAGGACAGTGGGTGCACCCATCCCACCCGCACTCTGGCAATGGCAGCAACATGCTCTGCAATCCCCCTGCCAGCTCTCCACCAGGCAGGCAGTGCTGCCAGCCCAAGGCCAGCAATCCTGCCTTGAGCTGGGCCAGTCACTGACCCCCGTGAGGCTGCTGGAGGGACAGAGGTTCTCCGGGACAGCAGGCTCTGCCTGTCCTTGCCAGCTGTGGCTTGCCTGAGGGCTAAGCAAAGAGTTAATCTCTGTCATTGGAGCTGCCCGTACTCTCCAGCCAAAACCTCTGCGGCAGGTTGGTCCAGCAGCTCTGGCACCGGGGCCATTCCCACTGTCCAGTCACTGACCCCCGTGAGGCTGCTGGAGGGACAGAGGTTCTCCGGGACAGCAGGCTCTGCCTGTCCTTGCCAGCTGTGGCTTGCCTGAGGGCTAAGCAAAGAGTTAATCTCTGTCATTGGAGCTGCCCGTACTCTCCAGCCAAAACCTCTGCGGCAGGTTGGTCCAGCAGCTCTGGCACCGGGGCCATTCCCACTGTCCTGGGGCAGCCCACAGGGTGACCAGCTATTCCTCATGCAGGGCAATAGAGAAGACATGGCCTGGGCATCTGCCCCACATCCCTGCCCCAGTGCCAATGGGTTGGGGCTCTGCAGGGCCCCCACTGCCTGTGGCACCCACCCACCCCCC